CATGGGACCTACCACTGAACTGCCCTGGCCTCTGTCACTCTCTGAGAAGCGGGGCAGCAATGCCTGCCTGCCTTGTAGGTTGGCAGTGAGGAGTCAGAGTGCAGAGAAAGCATTGGAAACTAAAAAGTCCCCCTCCCACCATGGCTGTGAGCCGAAAGAGGCAGGGCAGGGAAGAAACCCTATTTATCATGCTTCTCCATCTTACCTTCCCTTCCTATCCACCGAAGGAACATCTAGTGATGGTGCTGGGCGCTGTTTCAGGGTCTGGGGCCCTGCAGTGAGTACTGCAAAGACCCTGCCCTCGTGGAGCTTGCGTCTAGTGGAGAAGATAGTTGGTGACAGATATCACTTGAGGTGGCCTGTCACACAGGAGGACAGAGCAGGACCAAGGTGACAGAGCCCTGGGAGATGGGGCGGTGACAGGGCTGAGGAGGAAGAGAGGGGAGGAGCTGCGCAGATCTGTGGGAGAAGAACATGGTGGATTCTGGAAAGGGAACAGCCAGAGGCCCAGGCACAGAGTGTGCTTGGCCTGCTGGGGACGGGTGAGGACACAGGTGGCCAGAGAGGCGACGGTCCATCTGAGTGCCTATCTGAATGTGTCTCCATGTGCATCCATGCTTGTTTGATGGCAGAGAGGTGGCAGGGGCAGAGCCATGTGGGGCCTGGTGGGCCGCTGGGAAGCTCTGGTTGGGTCTAAGGCCATGTGGAACCAGGTGGGTTTTGGAGCCGAGGGATGCCATGGCCAGCACAGCCAGGAGGGAGAGGCAGGGAGTTCGGCAGGGGGTGCCAGGCATGGAGGTGGCTGGGTTCTTCAGATATTTCAAAGGCTGGGAAGGCAGGAGGTGCTGTGAATGGGCCGCAGGGCCTAGCAGAGTGAGAGCACTTGAACATGAGGCCGAAGCTCTACCCCAGGCCCGTGGAGTTGCGGGTAGCAGAGATGGAGAGCAGGCTGGGGCCGGAGGGAATTGCTAGTGGGATAGGCCCACAATGTGGGAGCTGCTAGTGGGCAGCGATGGAGGCAGTGGTGGGCCGTGCAGGTGTGGAGTGGGGGTGTCGAGGGAGGTGCGAAGGTGCCACAGAAGTGCAGGAGTGTGTGTGCCACAGGCCCTGGGGCTGGCTGAGCTGGCTCGGTGTGAGTGTAACCCAGGCCACACCAGCCTGTCTTCTCCGGTGCTTCTTGCACTGTAGATACCCACAGAAGTCCCAGCACAGTAGGACTGTCCTAGTCCTACCTTCCAAGTAGGTGTCACCCCCGTTTCTACCAGCGCGGAAGTTGAACCAGAGCAGTGAACTAATGTTGCAGAGGCACAGTCTTACCAGAGTCAGAACAGGAACCCGAGGTACTGGCTATATCCACCCCAGTGGCAGCAGACCTTGCTGAGGCTGGGTTGACCTTGGACAAGGCCGGGGGAGCCTGCCCACCTCCCTGGGCCAGGACTAGAGTGACTCAGGCCTTGGCCGCTACTCACTCTAGGAGTGGAGTTGGCTGTGTGCCGCCCCTGCCAGGCCTGGATTCTTTTCCCGGGAGAAAGAGGAGGCTGCCTTCAGCCTGGCTTCCCGGGACACGGGAGCCACATGCTTCCAGGTCCTCGCGTCACCACAACCCTGCGTTCACGAGAGGTCTACTGGGCTCAGTGGGTTTGACTCACTTCCTTTGTCGGAAGCCAGTCAGGGGTTATCTCCCTGCTTCCTTGCCAGAGCTCAGCGGCTGGGGTTCAGAGGGGTGCCATCGTTTCCCCAGGATCACAGAGCCAACAAGCCTCCCTTCGTGCTGTGCAGGTCACGTTCCTCCGATGGAATGTTCTAAGCCTGGGGCACCTGACTGCATTCCTCAGGCTCCCTGGCTCTTAGCCCTGAAAGCCTTACTTGGCATTTTGGGCTTTTAGGAAGTAGGTTATTAGTTCTCTTCTCTTTTTGTACTAGCTGTGTGGCTTTGGGCAAGTTACCTAACTTCTCTGGAGGATTTTCCATGGCTATAAAACGGAGACCGTGGCAGCTAGCTCATGGAATTGTAATAAATATCTATTGTGAAAGCGCCTGCCACAAGCTCATAAACTTAGGTCACTTGGGTGTCTTCATTCTTTCATGTGTCTTAAATTGCTTTAGGTTTGAGCAGATACGGTAGCAAAAGCAGCCTGACATGGATGATTTTGACCCTAGGGACAGGCCTTCTCTGTGGCTAGCCGCACCTCGGGCATGGTGTAATAAGGGGGAGAAGAGGGGCAGTCCTCTGAGAACTGGAGGCCCTTATGCCCTTCCTGGTGCTACCTAGAGGCAGCTTGGCTTTCGGGATCCAGAGTGTGGCACACACTCATAATAATCTTTTTCCACACTTTTCATCTGGGGTCAATGAAGAGGCTGTCCAGGTACTCCCACCTCTAGACCCGGGGGCAGGAGGACCAGCATCTCCTTCCAAAGTGCTGGAGGAATTTCTGGGGTTGATGTCTACATGCTGCAAAGAGTCCCTGAGAATTCCCCACTCTATCCCCTGACCCCGGGGAGCAGTTTGGCTGGCACCCCAGCTGCGCCTGGTTCTTTACCAGCGTCTGGGGGCAGAGACAGCAGAACACAGCTCACCACACTCCAGGCACCGTGCTGAGGATTAGCTTATTTTGTTTGCATGGAAGCCATATAAGGGCCACGTACAGCTGAGGGCACGGGGCCGAGGACAGGACGGGGAGGTGTAGGAGTCTGCAGCTGGGCCGAGCAGCACATGTTCACTGTCACTAAACACCAGGTGCCAGGACACCTCTCAGGGCTTCTCAGCACTCACAGGCCAGGAGCCTGTGAATGGGGACATGGCTGCCCCACTTACCTTCTTACTCCCCTGGGAGAACAGGTCCTGGCCTCTTTCTCCAAGTGACAGCTGGCTCCCTCATCTTCCCTGCAGAATTACCAGGGGGGCAGGGACATGGTAGCTTTTCTCCGAAGGGCCTGAGCATGAGGCTCTGGTTCCTATGTGTGATGACACCGGGGCACTGGCTTGGGGGCTGCTGGCCCAGGGGTCTGTGTTACAGGCCTCACTCAGGGCAGGCCCCCAGAGCCCAGGGTCAGAGCCACCACCAGGGTGGAGCTTGGCCTCGGAGCGCATTTTGGTAGAGCCGGAGTAGCAGCCTCTGACCTGCTGCTGTGTTAGGCGGTGGAGGGGGTTGGGACCTAGCTGGCTGTGGGAAGCTGTGTCACAGAAGGCTACCTCCCATGTTCATTCCCGATGCTTGGATGATCACTGGAGGTCGCCCTTCTGTTTCTCCTTGTGAAATGGCTTTAGCCTCTCGGGACTGTGACTGGCTCAACTGGGCAGATGGAGATGGAAAATAAATCATGCTTTACCCAGTCAACAGAATACCACTCAAGCCTAGAACATGATGGAGTTGGTCTGTGTGATCTGACCTGGGAAGACGGCCACCATATACTATTCAACAGTACCAACTAGGACACAGTAGAATGTATGGTTCAATCGCATAAAAATAAATGAGTGAATTTTATTTAGTTTTTTATTTTTGTGGTACTGGGGATTCAAGCTGGGGCCTTGCACTTGCTAGGCAAGGACTGTATCCCTGAGCTATATCCCCAGCCCCCTTCCTCCACCTTTAAAAAAAATTATTTTGAGACAGGGTCTGTAGCCCCTGTAGTTTTCCAGCCTCAAATCTGACCACCTCTCTGAAGCTAGGCAGACGCTCAGCAGGCCCAGAGCGGGAGCTGCCAACACCAAGGAGAGGTAGTGGTTGGAGGGTGACAGGAGGCTTTGTCAGGGGCACACTGGGCAAGTGAGGGCCTGTGAATGATGAGGGGTCTGACCAGCAGGCACAAGGAGTCTGGCAGTGAGGCACCTTCTGGCCTCCCGCAGCCCTCAGTCCCTGCTTGATTCCATTGGGTGTTGAGACTGTTTCTCCACTGGTGATAAAGCTTGTGACCCCCCAAGAGCTAGAAAAGGAAAATACAGCCACTGCTTTTCTACAGTTAACCAAAGGGCTGTCAACGGCGGGGTAAGTGGGAGAAGGTCAGAGCGTGGTGTTTCTGGATACAGTCTACTCTCCTTGCCTGACTACTAACCCAGGGATAACCTTGGCAGTGGTTTCTGTGCAGCCTCTGAGTGGGTTGGGTGGTTTTCTGTGGCAGACTCAGGTCCCTAGTTGTGCTGACTGTCAGCCCTGTTTGTACAGATCCTCAGGTAAGCTGTGCTGGTGTTGGGGGGCTGCAGGCCGGGCTGGCTGGGGGCAGAAGAACTGGGTTTGGGGGAGAGCTTAAGATGTCCATGGTTCCTCGAGAGCTTTCAGAAGAAACTTCTAGGGGTTTGGGTTTTTTTGTTGTTGTTGTTGTTGTTGTTGTTTTTTTAATGTGCAGGGCACTCAGTAGTCTTTAAAAACAAATCGCATCCCTGATATAAATGTAACATGCCAGCCTAACAGTGGTGGGGAGATGCAGTCCCAGGGTTGGGCGCCCCCTCCCTAAGGGACTGGTGGTTCTTGAGGGCCTGGGCTCCCCAGGGGTGTGGTGGTGCTGGGCCTCTGCTATCCCCGGCTGCTCATGGGTGGAGATCGTGTTTCCTCCCTCAGGTTGGAGGCTCCTGGTGACACTGGGGAGCCCCTCAGATTCAGGAGGACTCTGCACAAGGGGGACAGAAACACCATTTGGGGGTGGAGATGTGGGAAGGTGGGGAGCAAACCCGGAGCCCCTCCTGCCCGTCTCATTCTCAGGGCTCCTTGGCACTAAGTGTAGTGGTCGAGATCGGTGGTGGCTGGGGGTTGGGACATAGATCCTGGGTTCAAGTCCTGCCTCTTTTACTTCCTTTGAGTCTTAGCACTAGTTCTTCATCTGCAGAACGGATTGTGCACCATAAAGTGCTGGCACCTACCACAGAGAGCCCTCGCTAAAAGCAGCTCTCCGGCGTCGGTGAAGAACTGTGACAAGATAGGGCACCGCAGAGGCAGCAGAAAGAGGCAGAAGTCGCCTTTGCCTGCCTTGATTCCTGACTCACGGCCCTCTGTCCCCTGTTCCAGGTGCGACTGCCCCAGAGCCGGCAGCAGGATGCCCCGGTGATGTGGACTAGCCTGGCCCAGGCCCGC